TAGATAATAAGGGTAAATATTTTGATTAAATAAATATTACGTCTTAGAAAAGAACGAGTTTCAAATTTTCAGTACAAATCGTCATTTTCATACTATTACCGCTAATATTTTTTTTTAGAAAAAAAAAAAAAAAAAAAAAATATATATAATAACCTGACACTTATGTATATTAAATTTAAGTATTTCGAATATAGCTGCGCCATATTTATTTAAAAAGGAGTACAAAGATTTTTCTTCATTAATAGTAAAGAAAGAAAAACAAGTAAACACATGACGAAATTTAATTAATATTATTCAGCATTAATTGGTATTCCAGTAGCTATTTAAAAAGTTAATAAAACTGGCCGTTGTCGAAACAACGAAAAAACCAAGTCAGCATTTTCAGTCCCGTCGAATAATGTACAAAGGCTGCGCTGAAAAATATCGTAGAGAACGTTAAAAATGTCGGTGATATAGATGTGAGCGGGGCTATAGATGGCGCTGAATTCGAGCCAGGGGAATATACGACTATTGTAATGGTTTATGATGTAGTTTTGCGTTTGAATTGTGTGTACACGTGGTTAACGTAATACCTGGTCAGTAGTAGGAAGTATCTGTGATTTATATAAGAATTCTCACTAGAGATTTCAATAAGAATTTTTACTCGAGAATTTGAACTAATAACCTAGAATGGTTATGGAAATGTATGACTGATAAAACGAGTCATTTACAAATGACACATATGTTAACGTATTAAAATATACTTACTGGAATATGCCCTGTGTATATAAACTTTAAAGGTGTGTATTTATTTTGATTTGCGAAAGAATTAATATAGCATTTTTTACTACTCTTACGTTGCTATGAGCTCCTGTGACAATTTCAGGCTGACATACCAGTAATCTATGGTGATTTAGTCAAACTTTCCACTGAGCCGTTTAGAGATTCTTTGATATAGATCCGAGTGATCCTCAGAGCCTCAGAGAAAATCGGAACAAAATCATACATTGCATTTCACCGAGTGAGGCTACCGGAGGCCTACAAACCGTTTGAGCTGCAGGTGTCTATTCATTTAACAAACTCACACGTCTCACATACGACCGGCCGTCACGGAAAACTAGGCAGAGCCGTACTATGGTAACCAGACTGCTGATAAACACACTTATATATTTCTAAAAACAATATTACAGATAAATTACACCCAGAACAAATGATCGTCCTCATCACAGAATTACTTGTCTTGTGTGGGAATCGAACCCTCAACCTCTGACTTAGCAGTCAAGGACAGGCCAGGCCAGTCTTTTGTCTTATATATCACACCAACCATTTGTCTTATAAACCACAAAAGAGAAAAAAATATACTCGTACATGAAATAAACAAAAATGCGTCAGCTTAAACTCCTGTCCTTAGTCAGATGTTCTTAGTTTCAGTTTCAGTCTAACTTCTCTTTATTGACAATTTAATTAGTTAACTTTCAATTTCAAAACAAACAGAAGGTGAGCAACGAGTTAACTAATTCAGTCTAAATTACTATTCATGAGAACTGCCATCGCGCTATATTTAGCGTGCCTATTTCTAAGCCTAGTGTTAACAGGAGTTGTAAACACGCCTGTGCAGTCAAATGAGCGTGACAGGAATTAATAACGGTAGTGTTGCGTGAATTATTCAACGATATTACTGACACTAGCTAGCTACAGTTGAATTAGCTGTCAATATATGACATACATACATAATGTATGACAATATATATATCATTTTGTCAGTTCGATTTTAATTGCTAAAAGGTCGTGACTTAGACGTGGTTCTATCTTTGAAGTTCAGACTCGAATTCGGACTTTCCGCCAATAAACTGACCTGTTTGAACTATTGTTTAATATGAAAAAAGCCTGACTGACTTTCTTGAGGCTCCTTTTCAGTCAGTTGCCTCAGTACCAGATAAAAAAATTACGAATCAATATAGTTATGAGACTTTTCATCATCATTATCGACAACCTTTAATAGTCCACTGCTGGACATAGATCTCTCCTTGGAAACTGGGTTTAAGCCTACTATACCACGCTGGCCAGACGGGTTGGGATAGAGTTTGTTTCAAGTTATCCTTCTTTTTGCAGTGCTATTGTCCTGCGTAGTTTGCTCCCTTAATCGGCTCTTGCTACACCCACGGGATGAATAGGGGTGGTGACACTCCGTATTCTTAATCGACAAAGACTTTTGACTTGAGACTTTTATGATAATAAATATATTTTATTGCTAACATTCCTAATTCATTCTCACAAGTAATTTGATTGTCCTAGCATTGTCTTCTCTTTTCGTCTTACTTTCCTTTCACTCCCAATTTGCCCATTTGTCACCAGTTCAGTTGACGGCAGTAGGCTTGCTCTCTATTAGCCGTGATTGAGTAACAAACAACCATCAAAATTGTAGTAAAATTTCTAACAGTGCTTATCCATTTCAAGCTTATAAATTTAGCAAATTTGTCAAACTCAGACAGAAATCGGCTACATTCGGCTGAACAGATATTCGGCTATTAGTTGAATAATTTCACAATCACCTGTAAAATGTACTAAGTATTTGAGCACTGCGCGTATCTGTTTGAGTTAGCGTGAAGCGTGCATTATTCATCAGCGTGATTGTGGTCGCGGACGTGTTCTACGAGTGTTGTACGACACGGTCAAAATATAATGCTGTTAACTATTCAGCCGTGTCGTATTCAGATGCAATGTTTCAATCACTGTTTAGGTATGCTAATCCGGAGTTTTTTTTAATACTACATCACATTGTCTGTTTTAAATATGGAGTTGGTTTCTAGAATATTCCATTGATTAGTAAAAAAATATTGATATAATGTTTGATTTTGTCTTAGACAGAAATTTTAATAGGAAAATGAGGAGAGATTTGACGCTGTTTGTGTGAGTTTTGAAGCAACTCATTGGTTACTTTCGTCACCGAGTGAGTGAGATTGCTAGAATGCTAAATAACTCAAGATCATAGTATTTCTTCAGAGTCTAATGGCCCTTGAGTGTAATGACTCTTGAGATGTAAGATCGTTAGAGGTCATGGGCGGCGGTAGTCACTTATCTCCAGGAGAATCTACAGCTCGTTTGATCTTATACTATCAAAAAATAGGTAACTGAAGAGAGGGCACGGGGCCCTTCAGCAGACAGAACCAGGCCCCGAGAGCATTCAATGTCAACAATAGGCCGCTTCCTGGGTGACTGGACAACTTAAATAGCGGCCTGTGGGTGTCATTTTCTGAACACATACAGGCAAAGAGACAGACAGAGACGGGTCCAAGATTATTAGAGAGTGCGCAAGAATGCAACGGAAATTCTTGTTCCCGTAATAGATAAGTAGAGGAAGCTGGGAGCGGTTTAAGGACGTAGGAGTCCGATAGACCTCTAATGATCTTCCACTCCGTTAACAAAAAGAAGGCTGTGAAGAAAGTCCATGGCTGGAGATACTCACAGTAGGAGGTGGCCCCATTTTATGAAAAATGTTTTGGTAGTAGGAGAGGCATCATCAAACCACGGATTTGCTAATAAAAATACTTGCTTAATAAAATATAGACCCAACTAAACCTTATTGATTTTTAATTTGAAATTAATAATTTGTATGTCTTTGTTCGTGTTGGGGGTTGATGGGGGGTAGAAGAAAGAGCTCTTTTCAGGGACCCCAGTTTCAACAATACTTTTCCATTTTCCTTGCTACCAACGTTAAAAATGAACGTCACACAAAGGGAAATAATTAAAATTGTTATTTCTCTACCGATGATAAACTTTAGCAATTTAAAAGTGCCAACCAATTTATGTAATTACTACAGATTCAACGTAAATTTGCTTTTGAATGTAAATAAAATTTCAGAGTTCGCTCAAAGGATTTGTGCGAACGGTCCGCCTGCACTTGGCCTAAAGGGTGTAATATACCCCTATGAATAAAGGGGTGGCAGGTATGCCGTTCAAAGTTTGAGTCATGAGTCGCTTGTTTTTTTTTTTCAACTTTGATCAACGATTTGAACTATACAAATAGTTGAAATAATTTTTGAAATACCTTGTTGTCGTCTATTACGTTTAATGAACACGTCTTTTTAAGTATTTATGAAAATTTAAAGTGCAACAAATCAGTGTTAAATTTTGATATTGTTTTTAATTTTTCGAAGTGACAAAAATTGAGAGGAGATAAAAAGGAACAGGTTGTCAGGAGCAGTCACCCCAACGGGGGTTTGCAGAGAGGGGGGGGGGGGGGTCGGAATTGGACCGACTAAAACCACATGGTGTGCCACTCTGCGCCTATAACAGGAGGGATCTGGGAACTGCTGTTATTAAGACATCCGGAGAAGCAGTCACTACCCTGGCCTATAACGAGAGTACTATTCTTCTGTGACTTTAGATTAAGTTCGAAAAAGTATATGAAAAGGTAGAAATAAATGCCCTGTCTCCATATAGTTGCCTAAAATCTTTGATCTGTGAGATACTCTCGTAGATATATGTTTCGTAAATATCTTCAAGTCAATTTAAAAATTCTTCTTTTAACTTTGTTAAAGCAAATACAGACATATAACCTAAGTCATGTTTTAAAATAGTTCACTGGCGTGATACTTACTTTTAAAATCGTTTGTTACAGTCCAGTAATACCTACGGACCTACGTGCCACTATGAGGGTCAAATATTATCAAACAATTAACGATTAAAAATAAACCTGCTGATCTTCCAACGGCTAAACAGTTTTTTTTAATTATAGCTAATAATATCCTCGATCAAGACATCTTTTAATTTAAAATAAAATCATCATAAAAATAACAAGATCCATTCTTTTAGGAATAATCGTAGACCTAGACACACTAATTCACACGTTAAACTTTTAACACTTTCCCCCTATTTTGTGTCGAGAGTTAAAATTAATAAACAATCGCACAAAAATATTCGCATTCTCAAAAAATTTTTCCTTACGATTTCATATCTAGAAAAATAAATAGTAAGCACAAAAAATATGAGCTGTGTATAAAATAAGGCGGGCTACTCACGACACGACTGGAACTCGTCCTCGCCCTTCTCGCAGTCGCGCTGGTAGTTGCAAACCCAGAGCGCGGGGATGCATTTACCCTCGGGGCACCTGAACATGCCACTCGGACATATTGTGTCGCCTGGAAAATGAAAAATTTGTATTAGTTTCGTGTTGTTTAAATACCGATGAACAACCAATAGAAATAGTGATATGTAGAAAAGTAGATGTTAAAATAACTAACTACAACTTAATTTGATAAGATTATTAAATAAATAGTTAAAAATATTAATAACATATGAAATACTTATATTATCTTCACAAGTGCAAGGATACTGTATTTTACTAATGCTATATAAGAGGATAAAACAATATAAAACATTAACCCATAAGAAATAAACTTGAAATGCAGCTTTTGCATATTTAAAGCTACAAATTTTGATACATTAAACACAAACAGAAATAAAATAAAATCTTTACATTATGAAATCAATCTCACTTGTGGTTATTTTCCACTATTTAAATTCCACTTATATTTAAAAAATAGTGGAATATAAGTACAAATGAGTTTAATCTCATAATGTATTGAAAAGTCCCACCAAGTGCCGACAATCTAGAGTATAAATTTTAAACAATCTTCGTGCTCAAAACATATTAAGAACTCCTTAATTGTAAGTATTACCTTGTATTGTATTGTAAGTATTATTGTTTGATCGCATTAACTTTTCAGTAAATAATTAGTTATCATGGAACACAAAAGTTTAACCATTAGGGACTAATCCCACCCACTATACCCTACGTGAGCTATATTTGATTTCTATAATATGTATGGCAGAATCGCTTAAACGCACGGAAATTCACCCTAGTTGACACAAGATCCCCATAGTATACCGCTCTAGATGCCACATGCAAGCTATTCAGCATTATATTACGTTCATTATACCAAAGACTACATTCCCAGAGGATATGATGAGCAGACTGTTCATAGTGAGAGTTAGGTGTTGAGCATTGACACCTAATTCAAGTTTAACAATTAGTGTGGAGTTGGAAATAACGTATAATACTGACGACTAATCGTACGATTAGTCGTAACTTACCGCCGCAGTTCGACAGCCAGCCTTCCGCCTATCGCATGGTGCGGTAATGTAATCAGCTTATGTCAATTTATCGCGTTACAGGTAAAATAGAGTTACGACCCGTGCGCATGACGTACTCTGATGAAGGATGAATTGGGATGGTACTACGAAATATTTCCCGAATGGCAAACATTTTCGGTATGAAATATTCCGGCTTAGTTACTAGCGCTTCAAAAATGCTCGCCATATTTTTCGATCGCGTTTCTCTTTCGCGTTTAATAATATGTTTTAGAAAATAGATAGAAACATGAGAAGGTTAACATCTAATTTAATCATATTATGATGGCAATCCGTGTGGTGACGGATTAAGAATACGGAGTGTCACCACCCCTATTCATCCCGTGGGTGTCGTAAGAGCCGACTAAGGGAACAAACTGTACAGGACAACAGCACTGCAAAAAGAAGGATAACTTGAAACAAAACCTATACCAATACCGTCTGGCCAGCGTGGTATAGTGTCCAGCAATGGACTATTATAGGCTGTTGATGATGATGATGATGATGATTATAATGGCTCTTTTTATTTATCTAAATATATTTTAACATTAATGGGCTACCGTAACTAAGTGGGTTACGGGTAGATGGAGCACTAAAAATTCCGACAACTGTCTTTCCACAGAACTTCGATGTCCCCTAGTACTTGCTGTGAAGGTCTGATGGAAGTCGCTCGGCGTAAGAATCGAAGTTCAACCGTATTGTAATAGACTTAAAGCGGTTAAAGGCTCGGAGAAAGAAGAAGATTATAACATTAATAATGAAGATCTGAAACTAGGTAGAACTTGTAAGTAATATGGGAATCAGACTGCTGATAAATATACTTATAGAAAAGAACACCAGACACTCATGGTATAGGTGTTTGTTCTGGGGGATTCGAACTTACTACCTTTGGCAGTATCACTACCTACTAGACTAAGGCTCGTCATGTCAAGTTATGTGATCATGTCTGATGTTAGATAAATATGAAAACACAAATTGTTTTGCCGCTCTAAACATCTAGAAGACAATCAAAGCCATACCTCCATACTTATACAACAAATGTGAAAGTGAGTTTTTTTGTTACGCTTTTCACCCCTAAACCATGTAAACCATCACGCCCAAACTTTTAAGATAATTAATGTCTAGAGTTATTTACATTTGAACACGTAAATACTCTTAAGTCGTGTCGTCAAATGAACTCTTCATACTGTCATGGCACTGACACTTCATACAACTCCTGAAATCCTATATTTTGTTATGAACATCCATTAACCCTCAGCTCTCGGACAACTTTGAATAGTTAGGAGTTGAAACTTAGCCCTATCTAATAGAAATTTAAACGGAGATTCAATTATACGAACTGAAGAACCCTGTTATAACCCTTATTAATTAGGTTTTGAGGAAAGCCTGGTTTGGTTTATGCTGTGTAAGTCGACAACAACGAACAACAAATACGAGATATAAGTGGTTAGACTACATATTATATATTTATTAGTGTTTCTAGTAAATTGAAATTGTTTGTATATCTCAAACTTACTTATCTGTGCATAATTATTTAAAATAATTACGTTTAAATTTGTGGCGACTTCCACATACGAAGACACAAATAAACATACTGCAGCGCCATCTAACGAAGGCATACCGAACTAAGGAGTAACTCCTGAATGAGAATTGCTAATCCTGTATCGCGATATGAAGAATTCTCTCGCCGATTAGCATAAATACAACTTCCCAACATCAACCGTTGGGCCGCGGCCTGCCAGGCATGATCACCTCGCCTGGTAGGAAATTCATGAAAATTTACTTTGTCTTTATTTTATTTTAAATAAAGTACGATGTAGTTTGATCGATCGATGACTTCTTTGATGCAGAAGGCATGTTCGTATTGTGATTGTCAAAATAAGCTAGATCATCATCATCATCAATCATCAACAGCCTATAACAGTCCACTGCAGGACATAGGCCTCTCCTTAGAAATGAGGTTTTGGCCTACAATACCACGCTGGCCAGACGGGTGGTATGGGGTTTGTTTCAAGTTTTCCTTCTCTCTGCAGTGCTGTTGTCCTGCGTAGTTTGCTCCCTTCGCCGCCTCTTACGACACCCACGGGATGAATACACTCTGTATTCTTAATCCGTTACCACACGGACTAAGAATAACAGTAAACAATGTAAAATTAATGAAACAAGAATATATTGTTACGTTTAATTGAGTTCAGTATCATTACAGTTAAGTAAATTATATCAACAGATTTAATCAAAACGGGCTGAACTGGCGTGTTTCGCTTGAAAATTTTATAATAAAACTTTTCTGGAACTTTAAAATCTAAAGATGAGAACTTTGAAGTAAAAAGTTATTTTATGTGAAAAATTAAACGCCATTGATCTCGTTATTGAGTTACCTTATTTTTTAGTTGACTTTAAACAAGAAGAGGTTCTGAATACGATAGAATATTGCTTCTTTTGAGTTCATGATGCGATATCTTCAGTATTTGTAAATTCAATCATTCTTTTTACAAGCTTTCTTTTAAACCTGCAATGTCTGTATGTGTGTGTTGGACACGAAACTTGGAAGCTAAATTAGAACCACTACCAGCTGTACGATTGGGCTCAAATTTGGAATACATATATATCTTCAACACAATAATGACATGGCACTATTTTAAGTCCTGTGGCCATCTTTCGGCTAAAGACGGCCATAGGACTTCTTAACTAAACAAAATAATCTCATCGAGTTTTTGTTTTGGTAAGTACTTTGGTGCTATATGATATTCAGGGTCTATAAAAGCTCGTTTGAAAAGTGTATATAATTAATGTATCTATACAAATAAATAAAATTGAAGTGTCTGTTCGTAATGTCAAAATTATAGGTTTTTTTTTATGCTAACACAGTTATTTGCACGATACCTATGCCAAAAAATCCATCTGTCTGTCTGTTTGTGTGTTGTCTGGACCGATTTCGATAATATTTGACTACCAGGTAGCTGTCTATCTAAGGAGTAACTTAGGCTATTTTTTCTCTCAGAAAAACCTTATAAAATTTTGCCCGGCCCTGGCATCGAACCCGCTAAGGCAGCTCTTTTCAAATTCCACGAAGTCGATGGTATCAGCTAGTTGCTAATAGCATTAGTTTTACTCCAGATTGAGTCCCTATTAAAACTCTAAGGCAGAGTATAACAGTTATATTATTTATATAATTACTACTTATGTCCGTGTAGTGACGGATTAAGAATACGGAATGTCACTACCCCAATTCATCCCGTGGGTGTCGTAAGAGCCGACTAAGGGCGCAAAACAACGCAGGTCACCAGCACTGCAAAAAGAAGGAAAACTTGACACAAACCCTATACCAACCCGTCTGGCCAGCGTGGTGTAGTAGGCCAAAACCTCCTTTTTAAGGAGAGGCCTATGTCCAGCAGTGGACTATTAAAGGCTGATGATGATGTGATGTGATGATGTACTACTTATAGTAAATAATATATCACAGAAGAACTAATATAAGTAGGGAAACTGATAAATACACATATCTGCCTAGCTCTTCATAAAAAAAAGCGTGCAGATATTATTCTCGTTTTTTAATCTATTACAGAGTGCTGACTAAATCACGTAAAGATACCAAGCCCTGAGGTCGATGACTTCCAAATCTTAGCAGAAATAAAGTGTCAGAAAAATGTTTAACTTGAACAAAATATTTACTAAAGCTAGGTACATTTTCCGACCACTTATCCCAGTAATGAATTAAATTAAAAACGGCTGACAGATAACGTCACAAAGACTGTCATGGCGGCGAAGATTGTCGCTGTCATTGGATTAATGTAGAAACTTGTTATCAAATGTAGGGATTTTATCAATAAATTATGTAGAAATAGATATCGATATAATAAAATTGAATAGTATTTCCATTAATTAAAGATACACGGTTTTACTTATGTGTGAATTTGGAGGATACCCGACATGCCCATTGCAGTCATGATATCAGTGCGACAGGTCGCTTTACTCCTTAAAATAAAATGAAATTTAATTAAATGATATTTATTTCTATAAGTAAATCTTCTCAGATATTTTAACAAGCCGGATTTTACAGCTTAAGACTCACTCTGGGAAGAAACGCCGAAACAAACCACAGAGGTCTCTTTTTTCTTGTCCGTCGTCATCATCAACAGCCTTTAATAGTCCACTGCTGGACATAAGCCTCTCCTTAAAAGAAGGAGGAGGTTTTGGCCTACTATGCCACGCTGGCCAGACGGGTTGGTATAGGGTTTGTGTCAAGTTTTCCTTCTCTCTGCAGTGCTGTTGTCCTGCGTAGTTTTTCCCTTAGTCGGCTCTTACGACACCCACGGGATGAATAGGGGAGGTGACACTCTGTATTCTTAATCCGTCACCACACGGAAAGACACGTCCATACAGACGGCATACGAGCCTAAGCCATCGTGTAGTCTAACCGATATTGGTCAAGATAAAGAGCTCTGATACTAGTCAGGTATCCAAAACATACACAGACAACTAAAACCGTATATGAGCCTATAACAAATACATACCTAAGTAATATTACCAGTGCTGTTCCCTAACAATTACCTCAGACAGTCACACATGGCCGCCTAATCCCCAACCTTTCCAAATCCTGTTATGTAGTAATTAGACTGCTCATAAATTATCTTATATACTTCTAAATACATACTTATTCATACTTTTATTTTAAATGTAGAAGTAAGTTTGTTTGGTTGTTACGCTTTTAGGGCTAAACCACTAAACCGATTATATTTTTTTTTTAACCAATAGAAAACAACATTATTAGCGAGTAAGATACGCTATTTACTACGATAAACACATAGACGCGGGCGGAGCCGCGGGCAAAAGCTAGTTATAAATAAATTACACATCAATTATCCTGGGTTTGCTCAGCTGTCAGGATTAACTTACCACGATGTCGCTAAGCGCAATACTCTGATTCAAGATCTAATACTTTAGGACATCTGGGTCTCAATCCTGCTATTTTAATATTGTATCAATAGACTGTCGATGGAATGTCGTCGGAATAGTTTTGCACTTTTCTTATTCTACTAACAATGTAAGACCAATGGGCTCTCTGACTTCTCACTGACACAAAAGTCGTCGATGTCTTTGTAACAGTTTGGTAAACGGTGCAATTTTAATTAGTAGAAAATGATATATTTAACCTTCCAGGTATGGCAATGTTGTTGATAATACCAACAATGACCTTTATTACTATATCGACAGTCTATTGACACTGTACATTTATGTTAGTAGAATACTGATATTTTGACCGACGTCAATGGCATCTCAATAGCGTATGAATGGAATGACAGTAGCTTGGCGTTAACATTAAATAGCAGAATTGAGGCCCTGGACTCATTAGCCTATTTTCTTATTCGAGAAAGATTTTATGAAAATAACAATTGTGGAATTTGCCCGAAAATTGTAAAACACATCTACATAGTGAATAAGCAACAAATAAAACATTGTTACAAGTCGTTTTTACTACTTCATATACTAATTCGGCTATTAGAGAAACACAATATTTGGGGGTAATAGACAGCGAAAACACTCTAAACAACAAATAAAAATACGAAAGCTAAATCCGAAGACTGATAATCATTTACTTTAGGAGGTTGGAGGGAAACCTTCTAAATTATTATTTAAGATTTCGTAACGTTAAGAGGAAATTAACTTCGAGATAACCGCGCAAAGATTCAAACTTACAGCCATGTCCGAATTACCTATATTTATGCTGGCAACATTATCTATGGTACATACAAATAGGTATGGCCGATTGATGTTGTAGGCCTCAGGCAGGTATGACCTCTCAAATAACAGAACAGCCAACTTCTGCAATCGAAATTTAATTAAAAATAAAAGTTATTGCCCCACCAATTGGGATTGAGGAATTTAGAGAATTGCTGAGGTGACTAGTGATTGGCGATAATAAAAAAATGTTCCTGTCTATGTCTGTTATTCATAATTTAATGAATTACTGTCAAATTTTGATCATTAATCACTAGTGTAATTAACATTATATTTGGTAAGAAATTGTATTCGAAGTAGTAGGCTTAAAACCTCTTTTCTAAGGAGATGCCTATGTCCAGCAGTGGACTATTAAAGGCTGTTGATGATGATGATGTGTAGTCGAAAATGTGACTTCATCTGTGTACAAAGAAACACATCCGAAGCCAGTAATGGGACTAGACTACTTCAAGTGGAAATTGTTAATGTATTATCTCTTGTAAAGGGTCCAGTATTAACATGATACTGTATAACGTCTGAGACAAGATAGCAGAACTGCGGGCATATTAATGGCTGGTACGGCTGTGTTGGAATAGGTTACTGTGTAACAAACGATTTATGTACAAACTCAAGTAGAATGATTTGTTAAGACACTGTTAATTCTACTCGTACTTAACTTAGTTTGATATTTATTTTAAACACGTTTTTGTTTGGTTCACTTGTAACTTACTAACCTTGGAATTCAAGTCTCAGTTTCTTTTCTACTTCTAATTGTTTTATAGAAATTAAACTTTGTACTATTTGGATGATAGTTCTATAATTTGGAATCTTGGAAATAATCTACCGATGGTGTTAGCAGGTGAACAGAGGAACTCTTCAATGGATACTGATAAAACCCATCAAGTGTGGACTAAAATGATTCGTTTGAAGAGTCCAACAGCAAATAAGGTTTGGTAGGGATGGTCTGATGCTCAATCCTGGAGGTGGAATTGTTTTTTAAATGCTGAATTCACAAACAAAACATGTTTTTTAATAGTTATTCGTAGTTCTTTTCCTTAGGGGCCATTCATTAATTACGTAAGGGGAAAGGGGGGGGGGGTTTAGAAAATCTATAAATGTGCTTATCTTGGAGAGAGGGGCTAAAACCCATTCTTAAGTAATATTTTATTATTAAAAATCTATTTCTATTTCGGTTACCGAATTGTTTTCTGCATTCCATAATGTGCACTTCGATTTACATTTTATTTTACAAATTTTATTTGTTTATTAAAATCTCAAATGTGTTTGTTTTCATCCATTTTAAATGTCATAAACATTAATTATAGTGAATTACTTCTTTAACAGTAATTTAAAACTAGTCGATAATTATTTGAAAAGTGTTATTCGTTTAAAGATTAACTGATTTATGTATGTTCACTTTCAAATTATTTAAAAACTAACTTTTAATTATAATAATAATATTCCAAAGACCAGATAATTATCTAATAATATAAAGATAATCTATATCTGATAGCAAGGATAAAGAATAACCTAAATTATCTGCTAAAAAAACTTTGATTTACGTCAACTGTGAGTTTTAGAGTAACTGATCTTTTTCCAACAAATTTTTATTATTCAAAAAAACGAGATTGAATCTTACGTACAAAGAGGAGGAGGAGGTTTGAGAAATCTTATGCATCCTTACATGGGGGTAGGTGGGGTCAAAAATCGTAAAAATCATCCTTACGTAATTAATGAATTGCCCCTTCAGCAGCCTATATTTTACGGTAATTTATTTTACTAATTATAATATTAGGAAGAGGAGGAGGAGGTTAAAGCAATCTTATGCATCCTTACATGGGGGTAGGTGGGGTCAAAAATCGTAAAAATTATCTTTACGTAATTAATGAATTGCCCCCTAGGCAGGCTATATTTTACGGTAATTTATTTTACTAGTTATATTGTTGGAAAATTAAAGTTGCAAAATTAAGGATGGAAAGCAGAAAGAAACATTGTTATATCCCTTAAACTATATAAGTAATAAAAACTATTTAGCCCCAGCTTATTTATAGATACTATAAATTCTAGAGAGTGTGCCTGTCTTAATATTACGATGAGAAACAAATCCTGGACGGCGCACATTCGCAAAGGTGAAAGGTGGACTCAGCAAGTCAGCAATTCTGAGCAATAGTGAAAAATGGCGCCAATCTCACGTTGTTTGCGCGCCTCGCACCTTCAAATTTAGAAGGCAGATAACACCGATTGATTTACTGCTAGTGAACTTTTCCATCGGTTTTATTAAAATATCGCCCTATTTCATCGATTTCTTCTAAATACTCGTATATGGCTTTAAATGTTTCACTCTCCATAATATATAACTGACATTTTGTGTATGCACGGAACAAATACAAACTGTGTCTGTGTGGGAATAAAGGCGATCCCGGATTAGGTAGTATTTATCTTTGAATTGCTTGACTTTTTAACTAGGTTGCAACGGCCGTAGTCTGAGATTAACTGCATATGATTTCAGACGGTTATATATGTACTTATTATTGTATTACCATACATAAAAAGTAAAAAAAAAAAACTTTTGGTTCGCGAATTATCCGTTGAAAAACCTGTAAGAACGAACGGACTGTTAATTCCATAAATCAGGAAAACGCTTCAAGTCGATGATCGATAGTAAAAAAGGATATAGGTATTTTATAGTTTTTATGACGGCGTGCAGTTTAAAAAACTAGTCTAGTCCCAAAATTATATTCGAAATTTAAAATGTTTAGAATAAATTAAAATTAAATCTCCTGTGTTGCTACACTTAAACAAGAAAACGGATTGTTAATAATAAATACGAGAACTGTAAATATTGTCTGAAAATTACTTTGGAGAGGGAACTCTTCGATTAATTAACAATGTAACCCTGAGTTATTTTCTCGTGTTTCATTACAACAAAATTTAAGCGTGAAAACAATACCTTACTTCGAAAAAGAATCATTTTTAAATAATGTGTAAAATAATTTTTTTTAAGTATTGGTTAACTGAGCCGTTTTGCTTTCGAGTCGACCGAAAGCAGCTGTACAAGCGGAGTAAGTAACAGGCACAGAATTTATATAAAAAACTAGCAAGCCTTACATCACCCGCATGTGGTTTGGGACGTCTGACATTTAGTTCTGAATTAAATTTTAACTTATTTATAACTGTCGTATTGCAATAAAATATTAAATGTATAGGTAGGTAGTAAAAGTAAGTTTAG